CCTAGGATTGAGGTAAGACTGACGGGCCTATAGTTGCCCAGGTCCTCCCTGCTCCCTTTTTTAAAGATGGGGACCATGTTGGCTATCTTCCAATCATCTGGCACCTATGTAGAGTAGAAGCTCTATGATATGGCCAGAAAGAAGCTGTTACCAACATGGTGAGAGGAACTCTGATGGATCATACGCTAGTTTGGAGGGGACCCAGGATGAAAGAGAGAAACATTTGTAAGGCAACATTTGTAAACTGCTGGCTAAATGAGTTTAAAAATAAAGAGAGATCATGCTAGATAAACCAGTAGCTCGGGCTTTTAGTTGCTTTGGGATCCTCTGCAAAGAGTTATGAGCTCTTTAGATACATCCCCCTAAGTCAACTTTGACTTCTGCTGACTACATAAATTACCAACCTTCCCTTTACTACTTGTCTCTTCCTTAATTCCTACTTTGTTTTGATGTTTTATATAAAAGTATTTGGATGCTTCAATATCTCTCAAAACACTAGGTTATATTTGTTTGTTGTTTTGTTTTGAATCTTATACACAGAGCACTTTGGGATGAATACTGGATGTACTCAGTTCTAATCACAGCCATATGACACAGTGTTTAACTTTTGCTGATCCTTCTAACTCACAACATGGAAGTCTGTGTTCATAAAGCCTCTTTCCTTGCAGTTGGCTGATGACTAATGGTACTACAAATCTTTGATCCACTCTGGAGAGCTCTTTGTTCCATTCATAGCCATATGAACACCTCAGTCTGTTCCTCTTCTAAAATTGCCTTTGAATTTCAAAGTCACTCTCTTATATGAACTCCTTGATCTGCTGTAGTCCTGCTTGTCATGAAGATATAACACACAGAAGTAACATTGAGTGTAAGACCTCAATTTGCTCAGCCAACAAAGGCAATATTTTACTACTCTGTACCAGTAGAGCCAAATCAAAAAAAAAAACAAACAGCTGAAAAACAAATGCATTGATTTCTCTTTGCTTTACCTGCTGTTAAAGGCTCCAGATTACAGCTTTCCTTCTTCTTCCCATTTTCTGATTGCACAGCTTATTTTATCCATGGTGCTGTGGTTACTGCAGTCATTCCAGGCAGAGCATGGACAGTGACAGTTCTATTGTCCCTTCTCCTCTCTGACCCAAAGGGCTCTTATCTTGGCAGGGGAGGATGGATGAGTAGAGCATAACCAGAGCATAACCAACCGTTGCCTCTCTAGTAGACTGCCAGCTATGGTCATGTGCCAGTTATGATTATTATTTTAATGGAATCCAACAGGACCTGCCTTGGCACAACCACATTCTTTTCACTTATTCAACAAACAAGTCAGGTAGCAAATTCTGATCGTTGGAGAGAGTGCATTCTTCCATTGTTGTATTTGTGCTTATCATGTCTATTATAATAGTACCTGGAGGCCAGCTGACAAATCCCCATTGTGCTAGAAGCTATATACAGGGTAATAGACCCTTAAGAGTGTACAGTCTAACTAGACAAAAGGTAGGGAAAGGCGAAGACCATCCACGCAAAGTGAACTATCTGGAAGGGCATCGTATCTGATGCTAGCGAATATCACATGGGTTCCATAGCTGGTTTTGCTTCTATTTTCAGTGAAGTATTTCTATTTCAAGGAAGAGAAAGGGTTGTGTGGAGATCAAGAGAAAGAGCACAAGCAGGGTGGTGCAAACAGCTAATCAGCACAAGGGAGACAACATTCAAATCGAAAAAGCAGAAGGCCAATCTGATGACATTATCAATGTTTGTCAGTTCCTGCTTAAGCTGCTCTGCAGGCTTCAGTCTGTGGCTGGTTACCCCCTGTAGTTTCTTTCTCAAAGGCCACATGATTGGGTTTAAGAATGGCACTTTTTAATTTAAGGGTCTTAAAATGGCATATTGTGTCTGACAGACAACTAGCAATTAACACATTCCCTTATGTTCTGCCAAGAGTCCAGACTGTATTGCAGGATGTGCTTATGTATTTATTTTTAATGTTACATAAATGCTAAGAACTATGACCTTATGCTCTTCAGAGATTTAGTCAAAGGCCTAGATTCTGCTCTCCTTTGCACATACACTTCAGCCATGAAGCTAGTAGGAATATAAACCAGTGTAGAATTTAATCCTCAGACTGGAGACAAAGTTTATATCATATTCTTGGTTTTACTGGTATAAATCCACTGATTAAAGTACAAAGCTACTGCTGATATAGACTCATGTAAATTAACTCACCGTGGGGCCCCATATCTCATTTAGTTGATGTAAATGCAATACTAAGGTTTACATGTGTTGAAAGGATTAGCAGATTTTGGCATTAAAAAAGAAACCCTGGGTTTTTAGCTTTGGACATTCTGTACTAATATATATCTGTGCAGTTCCATGTCTTGTTAAAAAATCAGAAGATATTGTCCCTCTACCTCCGTGAAACTACCACAGATAAGTCAAATAGCAGTTGTCAAACTCTCTAGAAGGGATTAAAATGTTGTGTTAAATCCAAAAATTAGGGGAGAAGAAGAAGATTAATATATTATTTTTTATATACAACAAAAACAGCTCAATTCATGATGGCAGTGGCACATCTGCTGAATTCATTCACTGATGTTCTTTTCTTTGTTTCAGCTTTTGCATGAAGTCACCTGGGTGTGCTTTAAGAACTGCCAAATGTATCATTGATCATTTCTAATATTATCACAGCAATAATTTTACCAGCATAACAAAACAAACACAAAATGTCCCATTATGCAGGATGTGGGAGGGATTTTCAGTGAACCTAGAATTAGCCAAATCCACTTTTTTGCTAGCATAAATCTTCAATAGTGATAGGTTTACCTCTGAATGATTCCACTGTCAGTGAGAGCAGAATTTAGCCATAGTGGAAACAAAACTTTGTGCTAGGGAAAGGTATGACTAGTGATTTTTTTCCCCCAAACACTCTAGTTTGAAGAAAAATAGCATCTGAGTAATATACACAAAGTTATCCTGCAAATATTCAGAAGTTTAAAAGAATTTACTTGGGACTTACTCAGACCTTTTTTATTGACTCTCTGTGAA